TACTCATTCTTGTAACCAATTAAAATCCTAAGTTTATCACCGTATATTTAAATCAAATAAATTAGTAATAAAATGAAGACGTAACTTATAGATTACTGTTTGACATATTTTGAATGGTAATGTGATATTACTAGTATACCAATATGTTTATAACCGCGCCATAAAAGCTATATAGTTTCAGTGACGGTAAACTTGCAGTCAGACATATGACGTCAGTCATATTGTCTAACATATGAAGCTTCACTGGTAAGTCCTCAGGGAAGCAGTTAAACTGCTATATTGTCCGAAGGGTGGCCAAGAAAGATGCAGGATATTAAAACGACTTTTTGACAACTTTCGCTTCTCTTTTTCGAAGTGAACATATGATATGATTCGATTTCATCTCCGACATTTTTAATGCAATAGGAAAATGAAAAAAATAAATGCTTCTTCTTTCGCAGATCACTCTCATTCAACCTTATCTTGCAAATAAATTACAACTTATCATAAATATATTTGATATTTATGATCTGAACTACGTGATCGGTTATTAATGAAACAGAGACAGATTTGCTCACTGTAGTGCAAAATCATTTGCAAAATCGCAGAAAATCTAAATTCTTATAACGGGTAATCTACCACTAACTTATTTTCTTTCGGGGAATGCCTGACTTTTCTGAGTGCAGGGTTAAAAAAAACCTCATTTTCAAGCCGAAGCCATTTATAGCGTAGAGAAATAAAATTATAAATAGTTACTTGTTAAAATTACTATTGCCTGCTACTATGTCATTTGCTCTTAGTCTGAACAAATATCAAAATAAATCAAGTTTAATTTAATAACAAAAAATTTAATTTCAAAACAAATTTGTCACATAATTATACTTTGAAAACAAATATTTTTAAATTGATAATTAAAGAAGCGCTTTATGAATAAATGTCTCATAATGAATCAGCAGAAATAGCCGTTTTCTCTAGATATATTTTAAATCCAAATTACTGTATACTACAGAATTTTCCCATAAAAACGTGAAAATGCAATAAAAGTTTTAGAATGCTTCTCATATGTTGATAACATGTTTTGATAAACCCATTGGCAAGTGGAACTTTAAAATTTAAATTTAATAACACATTTTCTTCGAAACGTTTGCTATGTGAAAAGTTTAAATATCCAAGGGAATTTATTCTACCTCCTTCAAAAAGTCCATATTTTTATCATAATTCCAAAACGTATGCCAGATAAAAAATTTTAAGTAACCCATTAATATGCAAATATTACAATAAGAATAAATAAAAACTTTAAATTTCATATAACCATAAAAAACTTAGGTACTTATTCAAGAAACTAAGGAAAACAATTCAGTATTAATATAAATTCGTTAATGATAAACTGGTTCGGTTAAAATGTATATCAAAAGTATCCTCTGAAAAACAAAGTGACTGAATTCAACTAATTTAAATTTGAAACAATGAAATGTTATTCAATCACCAGTAGGGTAATTGTTTATCTCAGAAAGAAAGACAAAATTAGCAAAGCGGTTGCCTTGAAAAATCATAAAACTTTGAAGAAGATATCACATTAATATTCCATCCTCCCAAAAACTTTACTAGATAGGAAATGGTAATACAAAGAATTAATTTATGCATAATTATTGCACTGTATATTTTAATTGATACTTGCGCTTTAAATTCAGGAATAATAGAAATGGTGTGCTGTTGTTACATGCTGTCACAACCTTCATTTAAGAAAAATGCTTTTGATACATTGTATATTACATAAAATTTTTATCTGTATATGTATACATATATACGATGTAATTCTTTCATCAGGTAACACATATTATAAACTTCGAAAACGGCCGCTAAATATAGACAAAATTCGAGGGCACTGAGAGAAAATATCAGGAAATTGACCTTCTCTCGTATTCCAGAACTGTGCAAAGCATTTTGTTAAAGAACCTTGGAAACTAACCTCAAATCTTAAAGGATAGTTGAAGGATCAAAAATTTGTTTTTAAATTTAGAGTAGGTTAACAGTGCATTATATTTTCACACATAAAACATAATCTAAAAATTACATAAAAATAAAAGCAACAGTAAAATATCTCAAATACTCAAAATTATTTGCTTTTGGAAGACAAATATATTATTTGAGAAGTCTAAAAATTCATTTAAAATTCGCAGAGAGTTTATGAAACAATAAAATTACTACCATGCTCACCACATACATTTACTTATAAATAAACTACAGAAACAGTACGGAACAAAATAACATCAACAAACTAAAAGGAAGCCAAATTGGTTTACAAGACTGTCATAAAATTTCTGTCATAAAAAATAAAAATAATAAACTAGTAAAGTGCGCTAAATGCTGCTACATTCACACAAATTTACACACAAATAAATTCAGCATATCTTTCGATTATTATCTGCAGATAAAATAAATTCAGAATATCTTTCAATTCTGCAGATAAAATAAAAATAGCTTTAGAATATATTACAGTTATCGCGCATCGATAACGTATTTCTTTTAAATAATTCTTTGCAACTTTATTACAACAATGCAATGCAACAATTACTTTTATGCGATATGTTTTACTACTTGTTCATTACCGGCAGAGCAAATGCAAGCTAAATAATAAAATAAGAATCTAAAGGGCACATAACAGTGAAACGTCTGGAAAATGAGCATTTCTACTGGAAGATAGAAGTCAGGTGGAGAGGGAGACCGTTAAATCAGAACCGAAATGGCAAGTGATCCTTGAATGGGAGCACAGCATAGCATCTGTATGTTGATTCGGGGGGACTTGCTGGATGTGATGCATCTTTTTCGGGAGATGTGCATCTGGCACTAAGGAAAAATCTTAGTTCCTGGCTCAATTACAATCAATTTTCTCCATCAATCAACGGATTTGAATTCGAGTTTTAACTTCTGTAGTGGAGCTATTGCTTTCAACAAATTTGATCGAGCATCTTCTACACTTGCCCGAGCATTTGAATGCTTTTCATTCAGTCGTATCGTCTGAGGAATTTGTTTCTTTCTTCCAGCAGCATAAGGCTTGGATGTGACAATATGAACGTGAAAAATGTACTGCAAACTAGTTTATCCAGTATTATCCGAGTTTTACGCAATGTGAAGAAGTTTCCTTTAAGATCCTTTTTTTCAAAATCCCGTTTTCGAAGTATTCCCGAAAAGCTGAGAGAGTGCATTTAAATTTTGCTCTAATGATATGCTATACTAAAGAGATAACTAACATGGCGCCATCTAATGGTTTCAATAAGAATTGATGCTTGCTTTGTTACGGTTCTTCGGCTATGCCTTTTTTTGAGAAACTGCTATCCGCTTTAGCCGATTTCTTAAATGCTTTCAAAATATTCATGAAAAACTGATAGAAAGAGCACCTAGCACCTGAATTTTGTTTTAAAGATTCTTTCAGAAAATTCTAGACTTCGCAAGATTAAACGAACAAGGAGACATTTGACGAATTTAGTAAAAAATGACTGCGGAAACGCAACAGCGGTGACGTGAACCAAAGTTGGGTTATGTGCACGTAGGATAGGTGTCGTGAGGGCATCGTTCTATTATAAACATCCTGAATTTGGATCCCGTGGAGTGGATTTTCGAAGTACAATGCTAGTACTGACCTTCGTGTTGTTTTGAAGGTCAAGTGGCAAAAATTCATCAATATCGGAACAAAACTGTAGATTTATATTACACGCACACAAACCAGTCTTCGTTATGCGTGTTTATATATATATAGATATAGATATACATGATCTTAAGAATCCAGCTTGTGTAATTTCACGATTCCAGCTAGTAATAAAAACTCAAACGAATCTGCTTTTATATCGCTTAGCTTGTTAAATAACATTTCAGTAAATTTGAAAGAAAAGTTAAATATCATACGCTTTGATGAACCACAACACACTTGAAAATATTTTAATTTAGGAAGTGGAAACAATTTTCGTTTATTAAACTGAAAGGAAAATATGTTACGCTTCAATGAGTGGCAACTGACTTCGTTTATGTTATCAAACTTTCAGATTAAATCTTAAACTTAACTATCTTATGCTTTACAAAGTGGCAACATATAGCTTTTAAATCTCTGAGATTTTAATCAAAATTTCGTTAAATTATAGCAAAATATATGTATAAGAGTGCGGAAACTGGGGGCTATTTTTAAGAAATCTTATGTAAACAGTCGTTTTCCTTTTCCCTTGAAGGTTAAGTATGTCAAATTTCACGAAAATCGGAATAAAACTGTATATTTGTATGAAAAACATACAGACACTTTTCTTTATTTACATAGATGAAAAGGATCAATCACACCCTGTTGTTATTCAATATTCAAGGACATTTCGAATAAGAATTGTTTGCACAACTTTTGGAACTTCCCTTTGGAAGGGAGATGAATTTTATAAATTTAAAATATTTGATGGCTTGTGGCATAATTTATCCTATCTATGTAAAATTTAAGTCGGTCCAATAGTTTCTGCGCGTAATCCGAACATGCTTGCATACAACTCACACCCGCCACCCGCAAGAGGTGTATATATATATGAATAATGAATATATATATATATATATATTGATATATATTGGCATATTATCCATATTTACTGTGAACAACAACATATGAAGAAATCGGAAAATGCTAATTAAGCGGGAAATAAGTAGGAAAAAGACCGTGGACAGCTAATGTTTTCAATCTTTCAATTCAGTTAAGAATTTTAAATTTACAATGCACGAAGTGTTTACCTTTTTAATATCAAATTTAATCTTTAAAGCAGTTGGCCCACCAGTAGCCGAGTAGTTAAAAGTCGCTAAGCAATGGTAAGTCGCCCAGTATTCGATTCCAGGCAAACAAGCTGGTTGTATGGGCGTTTTCGTTATTTTCTCATGTGTAACATGAATACAAGATATTATCTATTATTTTCAGTAATTTATTTCTAAAATCATGTATCTCATAACCTTTTCTTTGCTCGAAGGCAATTGGGAATTTTATTTCATGTTCTATTTTTCAGGTATTTGTCCTACAACCCTATACAGGTAATTGAAGAAGGAGCTTTCATAGGCCTGGACAGCTTGGAAGAAATGTAAGTCTATTTCTAACATTCACTAAAATAAAATCGAATATTTGATGCTCAAGAAACTATTCCTTCTAAATTATGCTTACCATGCACTTTAACATGAATTTAACTAAGTAATTAAATTCATGTTAAAGTGTAAGTAACATTCCTGTAAAGTATAAAGCGTAACATTTGTGTAAAGTAACATTCGTGTAAAAATAATCGGTTTTGGTCCATTCCTATATGAGAACATTTGTTCTTTTAGAAGAGCTCTCGAAAAAATGTCAAATTTCCTTATTTTCTCAAAATCCTTTCATATATATACGATATGAATTAATTCAAGAGGATATGAAGGAGTTTTTATAACTTTGTAATGTTGCGCGCTTCCAACCTGCACGCAACAATAGTGGTGACTGCTAAGAACTGGAAAGTAGACAAAGTCTTGAGAAGGGTTTAAATCCCTTTTTATTCAACTTTAGAAATTACAAATGTGTGCTCTTGACGCTCACAACTACGCCGGCCGAAACCTGGCGGTAAAATAAAAATAAGAAACTAAAAGGAATAAACAACAAGTGACTAACTACGAGGCTCTTAAACGTAACTAACCTCACCGCGTTTAAGATACCGCTGATAATTCAGCAAACTTCTGAATATTACGTTGAAAGATTAACAATCTGCCGAGGCAAGCGCACAGGGCCGAAACGCGTGGTTCTTCAATTTTCTAACTTGCCCACCTCCACGCTCGTGAAGCAAGAAAGCACACTTTCGAACTCGTTTTTCCCTTCTATTTAACTCAGATTACTTCCGCTGACAATTTGAATCCTTGCGCGTTCTACTAAAATTTACATACTCTGGCATTGGCAATTCCAGGGGAAAGTAAGGCTTGACAGGAAAATATAGCTTAAAATAAATGTTAGTTTAAAATAAATATAAACCCTACATTTGCCGCTGCCAGAATTTGGAAAACTTGGAAGCAGGTCCTAGAGAAACGACCTGTTGAAAAAGTTTCCACAATTCTGAACTAAATTTTAAGAGCCTCATTTACAATAAAAAATCTGTTTGTCTCACAAAAGGTAGAATAAATTTCTGTAGATACTTATTTACTCTCTCTTCTTACAGCAACTTTTCCTGGACTTCAGCAATCAATCTGTTCTCTTCCTTCCAGCATCTGGAAGGAATAAGTATCAGAACAAATTTATGACACAGATTACACTTAATTCCCTAACACAATGAACGGGTTTGTTTTAGAATTCAAACACGAAATAGACACACCTTACTCGACATTCTACACTCGATGAGGCTACTTTAACATTCTTAAAATTCAAGTGTAGGTGGAGAACCCTACAAAACACATTCATTCTAAATTCCCCCTCATTCATCTTTAGACATGCAGGCTTTCGCTCTAAAGCATGATTTTATCTACAGTTTAATATTAAATTTGAATTCATTTCTTTTGAGCATTTACTTTTAGCATCTAAAATTTTATGCTTCTAGACTAAATTCTACTTTTACATAACTTTCAAGTATTTACGTATATTACAAAATTCTAATACATATGATTTTTACAATTTACCATAAAATGAATAAGAGGAAAATAAATTTTTTACTTTACTCATTCTTCGCCAAGCTGGCGGCACTGAAACTAAAGTTTTTATTAATACAAGAATACGAAGTTATTTTTATCTTCGGCCAAATTTTGGCTTTAACATAACAGAATTAGTCTTTCGACCAACAGAAACTGCTTGTTCTTAGATTTTATACTTAAAGAAAATACTTTTGCCTTAGCTAAATAAAGTAAAACAAAACTAAGTCTCAACCGAGACACATTGACTTCCGTCAAAACATAGAACTTCGTATTTACGCATAACATTTCGGAACAAAAGAAAAAAAATTATAGAAGATTTTAACTTATCTTTGAGTTTTCGATGATTGGAACTCCGACATCCTCTTCTGGCAGAACTGCTCCCACGTTATAGGATTTCATCGACGTCAGTCGTTCTCCTTAGTGTCCTTCGAGTGTCGTCCACGTTGCTTTTCTTTTTTCGCCCTCTGCATGCTGGCCTCTTGGAGTGGTAGTCGTCGGGTTGCTGCTGTCTTTTTCCGTTTTGCCCCTGGACGGCTGGTTTTTGGCGTCCTCCGGTCTGGAATCATGCTTGAATTTCTTCTGTTTGGTGGTGGTCTTTTCGTTCCTCCTGCTGTCTTTTCGTTCTCGGAACGGCGGCCTTGTTTTGCACCTGACTCTCTGGCCCTGGAAGCGTTCTCCTCGATGCAGAATTTCTACTGCGATACGTTGTAGGTGGTCTTTTTCCTCTTTACCAAAATTTCTTTACGCGGCGGCTTGCTTTCTTGTATTTCTTAAATGCTGGAGTCTGAAACGTTTTCATTTTTCTTTTCGGTACCGTCGCATGACTTGTAGAAGGGCTAGGTTTCTCTTCAGTTCTCTGCTTCTTGGGTGGTGGAGCGGGTGACGTTACTACTTCTGGACCTTCTACTTCTTTTACGCTTGAGTCCTGCAAGAAACTTTTAAGGATTTCAAAATCATTTTGATTATAATATTTTTTCACCTGGTCGGGACTTGCTTTACAGATTTCCCCTCTCTCGTTCTTAAGGTACAATACGACTCCCTTGATTTCCTGAATTACATAGGGGCCTTCAAATTTTGGAGCTAACTTTGCAGTAAAATTGTCTGGGGCACTTGATAAAGAAAATTTCCGCTTCAACACTTTATCCCCAACTTTAAAATCTGCTTCACGGCGTTTTCTATCATAATATAATTTTGTCTATTTCTTGCCGTATCCGAGCTTTTTTTAACCGCCTGGTCAATAAGTTTTTGCACATCTTTTGTTTAAATTCTTGCTCTCTTTGTTGCACAAAGAATAATTTATCTAATGGCGTAATTAACTTCCGTCCTAAAAATAATTCTGCTGGGTTTTTCCCGTAGTATCGTGATTTGCCGTTCTTAAAGCATAAGCTAACTCATTTATGTAGCCATCCCATCCCAGCGCTTGTGATGTGTGCTAACATAACTTTGAATTATTTTTACAATATTTTTATTAACTCTTTCTGCGATGTTTGCCTGTGGTCTATACGGAACCATTTTGATATGGCGTATGCCAAGTCCAGTGCAAATGTTTTCAAATAGTTGGCTAACGAATTGTTTACCGTTATCGCTAATGACTTTTATCGGTGCACCGTATTTTAAAATGTATCTGTGTAAGAATGCGTCTGTGACTGTTTTGGCTGACACGCGTTTTAAGTGGAACAATTTCTGTCCATTTTGAAAAATGATCTACAATTACTAAAAGAAAACGATTTTTATTTAACTCACTCTGGGGAAAGGACCAAGAAGATCTATGCCTAAAATTTCATTCGGAAATGTAGCGCGAATGCTATTTAAGTACCCCCCGGCCGGGCTGTAATTAATATCATTTATTAACTGACATTGATTGCAGGACCTGACATACGCAGTTACTATTTTGTATAATTGCGGGAAATATACCGCCTCGCGTACCCTTTTTAAAGTCTTTCTGACCCCTAAATGACCCGCTGTTTTCGCGTCGTGTAATTCCTTCAAAATGCTTAATCGAAGCGAGGCTGGGATGACTGGTTTGTACTCGAGATTTTCGTTTGTTGTTTTCGTATAAAATAATAAATTATCTATTATTTCATAGTTTTTCTGCTCTATTTCTTATCGCATCGATATCTGTGTGTGCTCAAAGCTTTCGGGGTCTTTCAAATATGCATAGATACTTCCAAATTCAGGATCAGCTTTCAATTCAGCAATAATTGTATCTCTAGAATCTAAAATTTTTGAAGTCAACACAGCGCATTTGAGTTCATTGCCTTCATCGTCCAGTTTTATACGAGAAAGTGCGTCAGCTACATTGTTTTCCTTACCCCCGGTTTATATTTAATTATGAGATTATATTCTTGAAGTTTTAAAGCCCATCTTATTAACCTGGGCGTTAGGTTTTTCCCCGAGTAAAGTCTACCAACCAACAGCCGCATGATCCGAAAAGACTGTTACTGGCGCTTTGCCGAAATAAACTCGAAATTTGTGTACAGCCATTAATACGGCTAATGTTTCTCTCTCTGTAGCTGTATAATTCCTTTGTGTATGATTCAAACGTTTTACTACTAAAAATGCCAAAGGATGGCCATTTTGCATAAGAACCGCACCCACAGCATAGTCCGACGCATCTGTCTGCTGCAATTTCCAGGTTTTCGTCCCCCTCCGGGAATTTCAAAACAGGGGCATTGATGAGCGCTTCTTTTAACCTTTCAAATGCGGTATTTGCTTCTGCTGTCCACGTGAATTTACTTTTCTTTCTTTTAATTACTAAAACAAGGGTTCAACAATATTAGCAAAATCTTTTATGAATGACCGATAATAAGAACATAACCCAAGGAAAGAAGAAAGTTTCTTGGCGGTGTTGGGAGGTGGGAAATTCTTGATGGCTTTTATTTTTGAATCTTGAGTTTCTATACCCTTTTGCGAAATTTTATAAC